AAAAAAAAAAAAAAAAAGGAAAGAAAACAAATTCTCTATATTGTTGACAAACAAATTCTCTAATAATTGCAACAATTTTAACAGTGCCAACGCCAGGCGACGTGGAGGCGGTACTGCTGGTGAATATCAAAGGGTGCGGCTATCCGCCGATCGTCGACTGCGAGAATTTCACCCGCGAACTGGGCTACGAAGGCGCGAAATTCCCCTGCCATTACAGCCGCGTGAACGGCAGCATAGTGATGGCGAACTATAACCGTGAGGCGCAGGTCACCACCATCATACACTTCTTCGCGGCGCCTTTCGTAGTGACTCTCGCGACCAGCGTCGCTCTGTGTGTGATGCACTGTGACTGCAGGTGCAGTCCACCGCCACGGCATTCGTCGCGAGGGATCAGAAGAGGCAGGGGCAACGATCTCAGGTAACGTGACTTTGAACGTTCGATAAACCGTCTAATGTCCCTGTGCAGTGATTATATTGTCTTGTCGCCTGTTCCGGACTAACTTCCGGAATTGGACGAATTTGATAATTAGAAGAATGCCTGATTGACTGAGAGCCGCTAAATTTGGAGTCGCTGAGTTATGATTTTCCGAGAGGACAACGATGTATTTATTATTGGAGTTTTGGAACATTATTGGAGATAATTTTGTTATCAGAGTTTTTGGTATTGTTATATCGGAACGTTTTTACAGTCGGAGTTGATATACAGAATTTGATGAGAAAAATTACTAGGAAATATTATTTTTATATCATATATATTTCTATTGGTTTCAATCGCGTTAAAAAATCGTGTTGCAAAGATATTGTAATTTAAGTAATCTATTAGCTAATAATATTTTGAGGGTCGGTATCATCAAAATATCCTAGGGACTAGAATAAAATAAAAGGATCAAATAAAAAGACAATGCTTCGAATTTTTAAATAGATTAATCAAACGGGGAACATTGTTCAAATGCAGTGCAACTAGTTCTAAGCACAGAAGTGATGAAACTCGTGCATTAAATCTAACTTTACACATCTGAATATTTACCTATCATTTGTTAATTATATAAATTACTTAGCTAACAATAGAAGAGAGTTTCGGCTCAACCGGAAAGTTGGGAAGACACTGAACTAGATCTTAAAAAGCTTTCGATTGGAATATCATCAATAGATTGAACGCTTTATTATTCATCGAGTCGATATTTCAAAAACGTTTCCTTCGGTGGATTGACGATGATCAACGAAGACGTGATATCTTTCTTCTTCCTGTTAGTTCTTGTTGCTTTGAGACTTTTGATGATTTTTGAATTCGGATTGACACGATTGTTCCCGAAATTCCGAAACAAGTTGCAGACGTCTTGTTTCAAAGGGAAGTGAAGGCTGTCGAAGGTATTTCCGTTTCTGTTTTCGAGTCCGATTAGTGTGGGAATTGCGATGTGAAATATGAATATAAATTTGAATTCAGACGAACGGTGCGTGGTTAGAGAATGAAGTGGTTTATCAAACAAATCTGTTCGGGTAAATATGATTGTTCAAATATCAAGACTGACTTGTTTTCATTTGCTATACGTCGTGCGTAAATAAGGGGAATGATTACTTGCAAAACAAACGTAGGGGAGTAACGAAGATATTTCACGTGCACGACGAGAATTCCTTTCGATTCGGCGAAATTTAAAAAGAATAACTTCCCATGTATGCAGATTTAGAAAAATCACGAATCTTTCGATATATTACAAATATTTAATAATGTGTTAACGTGTATGTTAAAAGCTGTAAAATATAATTTTCTACCCAATTTTAAAATGTTTGAAGATATATTTCTCGATTCTTAGAAGATAGTAATTTTATGAACGGAGTAAGAAGGGATCAATATAAAATATTTAATTCATAAAATTGGCGGTTCTTCGCTGTTCTCCGTGAACTAAAAGAACCACAAAACTGCTGGGAGTTAGTCTCATTCGTTTTTTTTATTGCATTCGGGTGTCCGGCTTCTAACGTTCGCAAAAACGTGATAGGAATACATTCGACTAAATCCTTTAATTGGTAAACGTCGAATG